GTGCCCATGTGTCGACACCACAGACGTAGTTTGTTATTCTTGTGCGTGTCTACTATAACTCGATGCTATCACGTCAACTATGTGGTCTCACCTAATATGCCCCCTATACCTATTTGCATTTTTTTTTTTAAAATATCAAACGCTAGCCCTTAATTCATTCCACCATACCCAAAAATGAGCAAATCTCCCGTTAAAACCTGAACTCGACTCAATGGCAATTTGCTTGAGTCTCCCATCTCTAATGTGCACAGAGAGTAAAAAGCATAAAACATCTAGAGCTCTAATTTGACATTCTTGGCTCGATATGTGATTCTACGGCGGTCCGACATGGCTGCCTCCAAAATAGGGACGTTTAATATGGCCGAGCGGTACTAATTGCATAGCAGTAGAACAACATCATACCCAATTTCAAACCATGTGGCGTCAAACGAGTTCCTGAGTTAATCGTTGACCGCCTAGCCAAATGTGACGGATACGGACGGTGCCATGGACGTACGTACGGACGACGACCATGGTCCAATAGACCCTCACCTATGCGTGATGGTTCAGACCGCCGTGCAGCTCCAAAGATAATAATAAAACCCTACAGTGCCAGTGCTTCTCCCAGTCCAAACGATTTTCGACCGCGGAACATAACGGGGCGTGCGCGGCCCCCGTTGCCGGTGAGAACGAACTGTCACCACGCAGTGAGTGTGCTATAGTTTCCGATGTCAGTCCCGCTCGTTTTACGCGCGGCACCCGTGTGTCTAGTTTAAAAATTACACCTCCAGCCACGTATTAGAATTCTCACGACCACATAAAAAACGACAATTTGCCCAGGCCATAGCGCTTGAGGGAGATATGAAAACTGTACAACTCTTCTAGTCGAGGTCGTCCAAGAATTCCAATATCGACCAGGGACACCCGGACTCGTGTTATTTTTACCGTCCCACGCCACCCTGCCTGCAGCACCACACCACAAGTACAAAACAGATCAAACCTGCTGTCCCGAACACAACACTAACTGCGTACACCGACTCGGCTATCCTTATATATACGAAGAACTCCCAAATACCGTCTATTGTGTATGGTGGCCGATTTTACGCATTACTTAGTGGCTACGCGTAAAAAAACACGCTCTCCGGACCCCCCCAGTTTTTCCTCCCCCCCGCCCCCCTTCCCCCCTCCCCTCCTCTCCCCCCTGTTTCAAATTTCATCCTGGGAGAACCCTGTACATACTAAACAACCCTAAACACACCTTCGCGGTTACAGGTATTCTGTAGTACCTCTGTGATTCGGACAACGAACCCCCATCTGCCCTAGTAGTACTAAGTAGTAGCTTGCTCGAGGAGGGTCTATGTCCCCCGGGATTGGTACTGCCAGAACGCTAAACCCTGGGTACGGTCCGGTATACCGGAACGTACCCTGGTACTATCTAATATGCCGAACCGTACCTCGTCTACTCCACTAACGAGTCTAGGGAGTCGCCTACGCCTACTCCCTAACCCGAACCCTAATCCTAACCCTAATCCTAACCCTAACCATATCAAATACTGCAAAATAGTGACCAGGGTACGTTCCGGCAGTAACCTGGGGGACATAGACCCTATGAGCAGTAGTAGTAGGCCTATTCAGTAGCAGTACACTTAGTTTTACTCACTGGCAGCAAGAACAAGTCGGCACCTAAAGCTACAGCACACACGCGGCCATTGACTATATATAACCAGTGCTCGAAATAAGCGTTGTCCGGTTGTCGGAGACAACCAGAATTTGCGCCGGACAACCTAACCAGTCTGAGACATTGTCCGGTGGACAACCAAGAAAAAAGGACGAAAAAACGCACTTTATTTATATTTTTCTGACCGCGAATTGAATTTCTTTCGGCTGTTGATCAGCCTGCATTGCGTCCATAGCATCCTAAAATGCACCCGCCACTCTAAGTATCATAGCCGCCATGCTGGTGTATACACAAGAAGTTCAAACAATTAATACACGTTGTTTATAGTTTATACGCAGAGGCTACGGGTACGGCAGCCGTATCTTAATGTCTCGAGGCTACGGGTACGGCAGTCACACTACGCATGCACTGCAGCCGTATCTTAATGTCTCGAGGCTACGGGTACGGCAGTCACACTACGCATTCGCTGCAGCCGTATCTTAATGTCTCGAGGCTACGGGTACGGCAATCCCACACACAAGTACAAACAGTCACCCTATCCCTAACCTAGCTTTAGTACTATAGCCCGCGTACAGTTGCCGCTGGCGCTGGCGCTGGCACCAGTGGCAACTGTACGCGGGCTATAGTACTAGAGCTATCCCTAACCCTAACACTACAGTAAAAACCCGCGTATAAGAACCTGTATTTTTCCAGGTTAGCCTAAAAAGGTTCTTATATAATTGGTGTGTACTGGGAAATTAGGCTATTTAGGTTCTTAAATAGGTTCTTATTCTCTTTATAAAAAAAAGTGCTTGTGGCTGGTAGAATATTGGTGCGGTCCATTGTTTATACAAAATATTCATATAATTATTTCTAAATGACTGCAATCTAGACAAATACAAACCCTATTCTACGTTCTTATTTCTTTTTATGCCCTTTATACCTAATAGAGTTATATAGACCACCAAGAACTTGTTTTAGTTGATTTATGAATTTTAAAGTGTTAACTGAATTTTATCAAATAAGAACCTGTTTCAAATTTTAGGCTACAAGTTACAACAGGTTCTTATGTCAAGGGGCTTTAAATGGAAAATCTTAGCCTAACAGGTTCTTAATCACTAGGTTCTTATACGCGGGTTTTTTACTGTAACTCTAAACCGACTCGGCTATCTTATATACGCGTGTTATAGTACCCAATTAATATATGGTGTATAACCTTTTGCTTTCAATATTTTGCATCTGAACTGACAATCAATCCCAACCAACTGGTGTAGGCTAGCTGGCACAATAATGTTCATTTTCATACTTCAAATCCGAGTGTTTTCTAGCTCATCAAGAAATCTTAATCGTTAATTAAATCGTGAATAATATAAAAATATGGCACCAGCTGCTATTTCCAACACTGATATGTCAGGTTTTCTGATTTATGAGAGGTGAACTCGATTTGGAACCAGCAAACCAGCAAGTTTTTAACATTTTCTGGGGGAGGACCCCCACACCCCCCCACCTGTTTTTTAGCCACCCCCCCTTAGAATCCTAGACTCGCCACTGAACAATATTTATATATTAATGTCTGCTGTTGGGGGCACTATGCTCTCATAGTGCCCCCAACAGCAGGCATTAATGTTTTTAGTGCATCACATGACTATGCAATCTACTTTTCATGCTTATATACCTTCTTTATACTCCCTAATTTGCCGGTGCATTTGATGTAACAAAACGTTCGACACAAACACAACCGCCGTTCGAAACTTGCGTGGCGCCCAGACGCAGGAGATTCGTGACGTAAACACAATGCGTTATAATAACAATGCGTCGCGCAAGCGATAGTGACCGCTCAGGCGGGCACTATCGCTTCATAGTACCTGCTGCGTTATCCAATGAGATTGCAGCGATTTATCACGTCATGCACTAATATTACATATCTTGGGAGCAGAGAACAATGATAAAAAATGTCGCCTTTTCGCATGGCGCCCAAAACAAAGATTGCAGAGATGAGAGGTAGAGGAGCCGTAGGGTGTGGAGAGGGAGAAGGAGGAGCCAGTAAAATATTAAGTCATCCACTATTTTGCGCAGTTCGCAGTTTTTGGCCCCCCTTGTTCAAAAATCCTGGCTACGCCACTGTTTTTGGGTGTTTTCTGATCATATTATTATGTGATTTAAAATAGGATATTTGGGGATATTTTTTGGGACAACCAGAAATTTTTGCGGACAACGCAATTTGATGCCTGGGTTGTCCGCAAGACAACGGCATTTTTTTTCTTATTTCGAGCACTGAGTGATAACAATAATAATAGGCCTATATTGTTGTTATATATAGTCAATGGCCGCGTGTGTGCTGTAGGCTATATAGATGCAGGTGCCGACTTGTTCTTGCTGCCAGTGGTTTTACTGGCTATTCTTCACACTTTGTGCGTGTGACTTCGTACGTACACATTATTATTTATTATTATTATCATTATTATTATCATTATCATTATTATTATTACTATTAGACTCACTAGTCTATATAGTGATGGCACCAGCAATGCCGGCAGCATAAGGCCTACACAATAGGGCCTACTCAATACTGATGATAGTGGTAGTCTGACTAGTCATGAATGTCAACACTACTCACTAGTCCTACTACTACAAATAGTACAATATACAATATTATATATACTACTAGTACTACTGTAGCGAGTACTGTAGTCTGTACTACTGAGTACTGTACTACAATACGGCCACTGGCGTTTCTAATTATGTTTTTACCTGGATTTGAAATATCTTTTGTTGTGTTTTAGATGTAAATTGGCCTCTGTAATCACCACGTTGTAGGGCAACACACAGTTTCGCCGTCGAAATAAATTATATAATTACTGAAAATAAACTAGTGCCAGTGGAAAATCTTGAAATGGCGGAAATTTCTGTGTCAAATGGCACGTCGTTGAATCGCATATGCGTAAGCGCGCCTTCTATTGGCTGCAGTTGGTGACATCATAGCCATTCTGTTATCTGATTTGTCTGTAGTTTGCGGTCAACACGAAAGCTGGCCAATAACCAGGCTGCGTTGTGCTCGTTGTTTGCCTCTTGCGTACATGAAGCCGGTTGCTCCTGTTTGTATACGTTGAATCGCCTATGTAAGTACTAAAATTCTATGTTTGGAACTCGTTTATGCTAATAATAATTACGTTTGCGATAAGATAAAATATTGTAGATAAGTATACGGCATTTGATGGTATGTACTGTGCCCGCATCGTCCGCGATTTTTGTGTAAAGGCACAACCATAATTTTGATGAAAAATACCAGAAACAGCTGCCCTTGTTCGTGCTGCTCCTAGTTCCGACGGCAGCCTGAGGAAGCGGCAAGTCACGGTCGGCCGCTCTGACACTATCTTTTCATCCTTGCTCTTTACGTAACAAAGTGATACATTTTAAACGTGGTTTGTCGCCGGCAATTGGAATATAGTAGAGAATGAAATAATTCCAATAGTAAATGAAGTCACAGTACTCAGTAGCCCTACCTATAATACTAATACTAATAGCTAGTATAATACTACTACTAGGTTACTAACTTACTATTACTAAGTAATAATAATAATTAATATAGCTTATATAATACTAATACTAATACTAAGAGCTATTAAAGTATTATATAATATAGCTATTATAATAATAGCTATATATAGCTATTGGGATAGGGATAGTAGTCCCGGGATTTAGGGATATCCCTAACTTCCCGGGACTAGGATTTCCTAATCCGACTATCCCTAACCGACCCCCTAAAACGGGACCCTTTTAGGATATCCCTAACTATCCCTTAGGGATAGGATAGTCGGATTTAGGGATAGTACTAGTAGTATATAATATAGCTATATGTACTATAATAAATTTGAAAAGGATAAAATACATACCGGTTACCTAAAATTCACTACGACACTAGTATAATTAAGTATGTCAAAATCGATAAAGATTCTTGATTAAATAAGTTAACTTCATTTAAACTTGCTAAAAACATAGTAAAAGTCAACTTAGTCAACCAATCTTTTATGACTCCCAGGATGCACACATTCTTCCACACAGAATTCATATGTTATTAATATTAGGACTAAATTTAGAATAGGGGCCTATACAGCTTATAAATTGACCTGAAAATTTTCAAAACAAAAAGTTCCGGTGTCAGCACCTGCTAGTGCTAGTGCTACTAAAAAGCAATGTATCTCACTACTTCAACATCGTTACTGGTTCTTTCCTTGATCAGATCATCTTGTGTATTTGTCATACATACTAAACTGTAAAATCATGACTGTTATATGTGTAAACTAGAGCACTCGGAGAGCGCAGACCTCCGCCAAGGCAGTTCTGTGAAAAAATTAATTAATTAATTAATTAATTAAATAATTAATTGCATCTGGATCACCACCAAAATGTAATCAATTCTAAGTTACCCCATTTCTGACCTAAACTCCTGTAAACTTTATTAATTAATTAATTGGATTTGGATCACCACCAAAATGTAATCAATTGTAAGTTACCCCATTTCTGACCTATCCTGGAAATTTTATTAATTAATTAATTAATTGGATCCGGATCACCACCAAAATCTAATCAATTCTAAGTTAGCCCATTTCTGACCTATCCTGAAAATTTTATGACAATCTGTCAATAACTTTTTTAGTTGGGCTGTACACAAAGAAAAAAACGCACAAACCCACAAACCAACAACGCCGGTGAAAACATAACCTCCTGGCGGAGGTAAAAAAGGTTTATTTCCATTCACAAGTATTTATCTATTATTTATTTTACAAAAAAAAATCTGGAGGAATGCATCTATTTACGTAATAAAAGTCGATGGGGAACCTGGGTTTATGTTGCGGGAAATTTCAAGAACATGTTCCTTTTCGTAAGCCAGGGGGATTATTGTAATACTAATTAATACCAGTAATTAATGTACAAAATTCTAAAACTAAATGTAATTATCATATGTCATCAGCTTCCAATCTTCAGTCTTGATAAAAATTAATTTATAATGTCAAAAATTCATTCTAATATGAAAAAAATACCAAGTTAGTGTGTTAGTGTATATAATGTGCTATATAGTATAGTAAAATAATGTCAGTGATATATATGTTCCATCCACACCATATGTCTTGTTTGTCATAATATTATATCAAATGCCGTGTATTTTTAATCATTACATTAAAAATAACCTTTCTTGTTGCAGAGTTTTGAATCATTTTTGTATTGAAGTCATTTAATTATTGACTTAGTTACTTGCATTTCTATGTTACCATATAAATAGCCATGTTATTCCTAATGCTAAGCATGCTTCAGTTATACTTTAATCCAACCATGAATGTAGTCCTCACGTCACATACCAGATAATGCATGTTTTAATAAAGTAATTCCTTTGAGGGGTAAATGAGTTGACATCCTGTTATGACTGAATTCAGTCCTGATAATATAAATATTGGAGCATATTTATGTAGAGTAGTCTGAGTTCTCTACCATGTCTACAGGATGAACAAAACAATAGCAATAGTATTAATTACAAAATTTACTCATGGTTACTGCCATACTGGCTTACGATTAATTTTTTATTCGAATGAAAGAAATAAGATAAATATTGAACTGTGGAGCCCTACTGTCTAGACTGCCTTAGTCTTGGCCACGCAGTACTAGTACTAAATTAATGTAAATGTTTGTAAAAGTGTTTAATGTTATCCCATTTTCTAGAATTGATCATGAAATGTAAATAAACTTGAATACCGATAGCTTGAAAATTTTAGGTGAATGCAGGGTGAACACACTTATTTATACGCTGTGAAAAAATGCTTGTCTAGTCATGGATTGTTAAAATAAAATCCACTACTGTACTCAACAGATGTTACTTCAGATTTTATTATATTACTACAAAATATCTAAAAACCAATAAATTGCAGTTTCTGAAAAATCCTATCTTAACAGGTAAATTGGAATGCTCTAAGAACATTTGTGAGGCTGAAGAACTGGTGTCATTTGAGTTTGCATTACCTTCTTTTACTGTTGCACATGGCATTGGATTTATTGTGAAATGCTGAATTTTTCATATAAATAATAATGAATTTGATTGGTAATAAATAACTATGTGGTTGAATAGTGCAAAGTGAACCCAATGGGAATGAATTTATTACCTTAGCTTTAGAGAATTATTGTACCTTCTATTTCATAGACTATATGATATCAGTCATCATGGCTTTCAGCTAGCCTTGTTTTTAGCTCGCCTTAACATCGTCAAGATGAGCTATTGCCATGTGGTGTCGTCCGTCCGTCCGTCAACATTTGGCTACGGTCAACGATAACTCAAGAATCGTTTGACCCACATGTTTCAAATTGCATAATAGTTGTTACCCCTATGGGAGAGGTTTGAACGTCCTATTTTGAAGCATGCCAGTCGACCTACATTCGAACCACGTCCACTTTTTGGCAAAAATGGAAATGGCCATAATTCAGTTCAGGTTCAATGGATTTTGCTCATTTCTGGTATGTGAATGAATGAGGACTGGCCCCAAAACATATCACACAGGTTTTGATTTTTTTTTTAAATTAGGTAGATTTTGGCAATTTCACTACGCATTTCAGTGTCTGCCTACGGTCAACGATAACTCAAGAACCGTTAGACCCACATGTTTTAAATTGCATGCAGTTGTTACTCCTATGGGAGAGGTTTGAACGTCCTATTTTGGAGGACGCCAGTCGACCTACTTTCGAGCCACGTCCACTTTTTGGCAAAAATGGAAATGGCCATTAGTCAATTCAGGTTCAACAGATTTTGCTCATTTCTAGTATGTGAATGAATGAGGACTGGCCCCAAAACATATCACACAGGTTTTGATTTTTTTTTTTAAATTAGGTAGATTTGGGCAATTTACTATGCATTTCAGTGTCTGCCTACGGTCAACGATGACTCAAGAACCGTTTGACCCACTTGTTTCAAATTGAATACAGTTGTTACTCCTATGGGAGAGATTTGAACTTATCTATTTTGTAGCACGCCAGTCGACCTACTTTTGAGCCACGCCCACTTTTTGGCAAAAATCAAAATGGCGATCTAAATTCATTCGATTTTGTTAAATTTTGGTATGTGAATGTGTAAGGCTAGCCCCAAAACAGTTGTTACTCCTATGGGAGAGATAACAACATCCTATTATGTTTATTTCGTCTAACTGGTCAACAACTCTACAATCATACCTATATACGTGTAATATTGTGTTTTAGATTCTTTGTTACAGTAATTTGACTGGAATATTTTATTGTTTTTATTTGCGCGATATTCGAAAACCAAAATGGCGATCATTTAGACGTAGCGCCATCTCTCGTCAAGATTTCAGACTTTCAGATCTGAAACATTTATTTTCGCATCAAAACTTATGCATATATCATTATCAAGAGTATAGATATTAATGGGAGATATGCTATATATATATATAATGGGAGTTCTCCCATATATACTCTTGCTTTATATATCCCCTCTCCCTCTTCTATCACACCCAAGGTGAGCTACAGTGTCATTAACACAAGTTTTCATTTTAATCTTATCTTCTGCACAACGAATATACAAAGAGGGTACAGTGTATTGTAACTTGAATGTTGTCATGTTTTGGTCCTTAATCTAATCAGTAGTTAAGTAAATAGTTAGACACAGTTGACTTGGATCTTTTTAGTCGATTTGCCCTCCTGACAACAACATAAACTATTAATTAGTGTTTGAAGTGCATGAATTAATCACTTTTAATTTGTGTTGCGTTTTCTCAGATCCACGCTTACGTCATATCATACATCGTCTGTGGTTGATAGCAAGGCCGTCATGGGTCGCCGCGGAGTTGACTCTGATAAGCCAAAAGGCAGGATGTCGTCGTACGCATATTTTGTACAGACGTGCCGCGCAGAGCACAAGAGGAAACACCCAACCGAATCGGTCGTCTTCACAGAGTTTGCGAAGAAGTGCAGTGAGCGATGGAAGGTGAGGATTGAATTTACCTACCTATCTCCCTGTCATGATCAACAGACTTGTGTTCGAAAATTTAGTATTCTATGCCATAAGTCTATGTAGCCATGCCATAAAAATGAGCCAGTCCTGCTCAAAGGTTATCATTCCAGGACTGGCCAGGTGGATGGGCTATTATTGTCAACACTGACTGACCCTCTCCTCCTGCTGTCAGAGCAAGGTGTAGAATTAACGTCTGCGTAATTACACGCATGTAATCCCAAAATAAAAACGATGTGTATAAGTGTGATCATAGTCTGTAATGTACTCTGTCTGTAGCAGGACTTGGGAGAGAGATGTGTCAGAGTAGAGATAAATGGTGTCGTGAAATAAAACTGTCCAACCCCGAAAGGGAAAACGGACATTGTACAACTGATGATGATGATGATGATGATGATGATGATGATGATGATAGTCTGTATTAAATGTGTATGTACATGTATATTAATTTCATATATGTTGTAATTTTCAGACCATGTCAGATTTGGAGAAACAGAGGTTTCAAGATATGGCAGGAAGAGACAAGGAACGATATGAGACAGAAATGTCCGCATATAATCCGCAAGACGGTTCGGGTGGAAGGAAGCGCAAAAGGAAGCAAAAGAAGGATCCAAATGCACCAAAGCGTTGCATGTAAATTTTTAATTTTTAATACAGTTTTGCATAAGAACAATGCCAATTGTCACAAAGTCACGGATTAATAATGAAATGGAGTTATCTCATGTCGTATTCTGCCTAGGCATGCATTACCAGACACAGGCTACAGTAACATATTAACACACAGTTGTCATACCAATCTACAGGACAGTTGGGCCTGTATAGTTGTCAGGAAAACAATAATTGTCAACATATTTAATATGTATTCCTGTAGCTCTGTATGCTGTCAGCTCATGAAAGCAATGGCTTACCTAAAGGGGCAAGGCATCCTAGCTTAAGTTTTTCTATTACATTTATAGCAATGAACAAGCTTAGTTGGTTCAGATTTGCCATGAAATGAATTGCAAATTCTGATGCGAATCCAGGTCCTTTGTGCCCTGCATAGTTTACCAAGTGTAGTCAGTGTGTAAAACTTGGACATCACTCGGCAATACTATGTCAAACGAGATGCTTGCAGTGTGGCAGAATTCTGGTACTTTAAAAACGAAATGTTAAAATCTAAATTAATCATTCGCACTCTCCAGGTCGGCATTCTTCTGGTTCTCTCAAGACGTGAGGCCAAGCATCATGAAGGAGCATCCGCAGTTGCGGGTGGGCGATGTCGCGAAGATACTGAGCAAACAGTGGGCCGTCATTCCTCCGGAGACGAAGAGCAAGTATGAAGCCATCGCGAGTAGAGACAGACAACGTTACGTGACGGTGAGTTACCTAAAAAGGAGTGAGCGGTGCTACTCCCGTACTGTAAGTTACTCTGAATAGTACGTAGTAATGTCCCGATTGCTGCATGCTCGTAGAGCTCTGTTTCTTTATATAACATTATGGTGATTATTACGCCTCCATTTGACTAAAACTCAACTCAACTCAATGATTATGGAATGTTGACCTATGCAAACAAACCCTTGCATTCTGGCCGACCTTCTGATTGAAATTCTTGAGTCCAGCTTTATTTTGACTCGCCTTGGGCGATTGGGCAAGTGATAATTTAAAAATTAAATTACCGAATATGGTGATTATTACAACCCATTTGACAGTGCAATATATGCTTCGTGAACACTTCTATTTGATGCGCTACCGCTTTCTACAACAGGAGAAGAACACATACAAAAGCAGAGGTGCATCAGATATGGTAGCTACTGGCTCAGCCGCTGGGAGCGGCATAAAGAAAGGCAGAGTGCAAGAAGGGGCAGCGAACGCGTATGGCATGGGCGGCGGCGAGGACGATGACGACGAGGACGATGATTTAGACGATGACGATGAATAAGGTACTTTCGTCGTCTTCTCCTCCGTCTCACGTGAGCCCAAAGATGTGCCTGCGTGATGTGCGGTGCCTGCAGTTTGGTTTTTTTAAATCACACAATTCCTCTGCTGTTTTTCATCTTCGTATATATATATTTGGCAAATATTGAATTAGGATTGGCTAAAAAACGAGATTAATGAAATAGACTTGTGAGATATTGAGGTTGGTGTAAAGAACAAGTTGCAGAATAACTTCCATTTAAAAGAAATTCTGATTGGCCTGTGCACAAAGGTTTTGCGTACACTATGTCTATTATATGATTGAATCTGTATGGTACAAACTGTGTTCATACAACGTATGTGGTATTATTTGTAGCTAGGTAGGTAAGTAGGTAGGTTCTATTCACGTAAATATGTAAACATATGCACATTTCGACAGTATATATGCATACTAAATCTGTCGGATAGTGTTTATCTAAGAATACATGGTACATTCTGCAAAGAGAATTGAACTTGGTTTACTAAATATAAATGTGCACACATGCTGCACTCTGGAATCTAGATCTGTATCATATGAATGTAAAGCAGCTTTATTTTGTTGTGAACACCAGTAACATGCAGTGAACAATTACCGTTTCTGTTGTTTGATGCTAATTACAATATTCAGTTAGATTAGTTACAATTAAGTTAATATATTTTACTTGCAGAAATTGGATCCCAACGTTTACCTTACAACTGTTAGGGAAAATTAGAAATGTCAATGTACCAAGCTAATCTGTGAATCAGCCATTGTACTTGTATTTGTATGTATGTACGTGTGTGCTAATGTAAAATATAGGGGGAATTTTGTGTAGGTGTACTACTAAGAACTTTTGTACAGTTTAACCTAGAGCCATTTAGTTCAAGTGTACAGCTGCAAGTTAATACAGTTTTAAGATTACCATTGATAGCATGCCACTCTATCACTGTGCAGGTAAAATAACCGCCGGGCTTGTATAATCTAAACAACTCGGTCCTAAAGGTGTGCTACTGTCTGCTAATTATACTAACTGATACGATAAAGAGGAGGAATGAAATTAAGCTCTGCCAACTCAAATGCCAGGTATATATATATAGCTTGTGCATGACTCTATGAAAAAAAATCGCAACAACATGTAATATTGCAAATCCTTAGTTGCAAGTTTTGTTGTATTTGTAGTTTTGTACTATGTATGGTATGATGTATTCAAACAATTCCAGAACATACTTGTACATATTTGTAAAAAAAACACATCCTCGCTGAATGTGGTCGTGTATAAGTACGTGTTAGTCGGTTAATTGCACATTGTAGCACCATATGAACCAGGTTACGTGTAACTGTGTAAACGCATTCGTTGAGGTCTTCCAGAGAGATTCGCGAGCACCCTTGTTTTTGGTCACCATCCACAGATGGCAGTGTAGCAGTTGATAACTCTCACAAGCATGCATGGCGCACTAACTGGGTTTTGCCAATATTCATCTTTTATGTTGGAAAATCTTGATTCTGAATAGTGAGCAGTGCAGCAAACAAAATGCCAAATTCCATTTCTGTCAGGTTAGCTTAATCGTCAACAGATGATATTTCGTGTATTGTAAAGATGATGAATATTCAAAAATGTCACAAGCTCTGCTAAGGATAATTAGGTGGATGGTTTCTTTATGCATGTTATATTCGCAGTGCAATGTGCACAACCAATCAATTGTGGGATTTGACTAGCAAAAGTTCGTTTATGTAGATATTTGACATGTGTAAACTTGTTTTGATATGTTTAGTGTGTATCTCTGTACCTCTCGGTTTAGTATCATATCGTAGTTTTTATCGATCGCTGTATAATTGCATGTATTTACCTAATATAATATGCCTCTTGAAGCATTAATGAAAAATGGTGAAGAATAAATAGAAAAATCACGCACCAAATTGATCAGCTTAGGGAATGCCAACCACATCTTATTAGTATAAGGAGAGATGTAGAGATCAATTTATATATATATATATATAGTTTATGGTTTATGAAAACTGATGAAATGTAGTTTTATTTGGAAATGTTCTGTCATTTTAGTTCATCATGTACTTTTTGTAGTGATTTCTTAAAAGTTATTAAAATGCATTTTTTATTAAAATTTCATTGTCTTGAGACAGATCTGCGATGTATACTTTAGCACATTGTTGACAATAGTCTCACGTACATAAAAATCATAACTTTGTCAAAATATATTTTATGTGCACTGTCATTTCTGCATCATAATAATACGCCATTATTAACTGCAATAGCTGCATAATCATTTAATCTGTATAACTGCACATTCATTCGTATTAGCAAGAGCTAATAACAAATGTCTTATTAGCTTTTAGTATCAGTGTACTCACCAATAGGTCTATCAAGATAAAAGAACAATTCCTATTGAAAATGCATTCAATGCTACATACACTTTAACGTTTCTTTTGTGTGAAAAATTGAACTATTTGTTGGTTGTTATGAATACAATATGCACATGATTTTCGAGCACATTTCGTTCTTAGTCATTATAACTTTCACTTGACTGTGCAAGGTGTTGGCGACATAGTCACATTACACATCAAACATAACAAAACGACCCATATATACGGCACCTGGCATGTTTAATCACACCATATTTGGAACTACAGATATACAAGTATACGTTAAAATATATCAAAAGTAGCGCTGTCCGTTTCCCCTTCCTCTTTTCCCTCGATTTCTTCCACCAAACGACTTGCCCCTGCATCTTCCTCCCCGATTCTCTCTTGTTTCAATCGCTCTGTCAAATCACAAAGAATTGTATGTATTATCATGTATTATGTAGTTTTATATTTCTTGACATTTCAAGAAAAAAAGTCGCATGGAATATATTGTGCAGTAAATTTCATAATAAATATATTTGCCTTGGCAAATATTGAATACCAATAATTACCTAGATTTACTTAATTCCGTTCTTTCAAGATCCTGGCTTGTCATCAAGACACTTTCCTCCTCGCTATCACTTAGTTCGACTGAAACATGGGTAATAACACAAGACATTTCAATGTCCCAACCTAAATTCCTAGTACACTGATACTATCAAGGGTAATCCATAGGTTATATTATTACAATAATGATGGAGAAGTTCTATATGCTAGAAACCCCTTTGACAAATCTCAAACTGTCTGCTTTCTGCATCCCAGAGGATCATTCCTCCACATAATATCTGCCAATTGCTGTACTAAACTCACCCACTGCAGAAACCTGTTTAGAAGAAACTTCACTAGACGTGCTGTCATTTTTATCTAACAAGATGACATCTGAGTCACTTTCTTCACCCTCGCACCATGTTACTGCACCTCCTTCTGTGTTTGTAGACATTTTCCCTGTACCCGGAACCTGTAGAAACATGTTGATTCAAAAGAGAATTAAGTAATCGCAATGAACTGTGCCTTATATAACAGTAAAATTCTATATAATAGCGTTTATAAACTTACTTTCAGCAGGACAATATAAGAGAAATTCTGCCAATAAGCCTATTAAAATAAGGAATCTAAGTAACTCAGGAACTCTCTGAAGATGATTGTATTCATTAATACTATTACCAAACCATATACAAGTAAATGCAGTACATCAACAAACTTTTCAATGGTCGTAATCGGGAGTAGATTACCATACTGTGTCACAATCACTTTAAAACGTGTCTAAAGAACATGTACCATCTTACCTCGCTGAGAGCGTCCTCACCTTAATGGAAACATTTCCTGTTTCTGCATTATCTACTTCCATCTGCACTCTGTTGCCATCTGCATCAACTACTGTCTTTGCTGTCTGCCCAACACTGGTGGTATCGACTGACATGGAATCAACATAATGCTTAAGAAGATCATCCACACCCAGAATGACATCGGCGAGGCACTTCGCGAATCCAAATTCCTTCCCCGATTTCCTAGATGGCAATCAAACATTTTGCGTTAGTTTTCTGAGAAACACAAGCTCCCCTTAAAGTTTGTTCAAACATGTCAGTACAGAAAGTATATAGCACCAATGCATAAAATTTGCATTAACTGATATTAACTGCTAACTTGCCTAGAGTACCTAAAGAGATCCTTCAAAAGTTTCATACCTGGCAGCATTGTCTTTTTCCAGCGTATCTTTAATGAGATCGGTTATTTCTCCAACTCTTGCTGCAGCAATGTTCACGCACCGAACTACCTATATAAAAATATTGTACAAGCCAATAATCTTTCACGGCTTAACATCCTTTGTTAAAAGTTCACATCAGTATTTAAAGGGCCACGGCTCACTATACACGCATGTGGGCAATCAAAACGTTCTGAGAGTTCACATGCATCGTTATATGAAGAAATAAGCATATACAGAGGTGGCACCTAGTGTAAGCCATCGAATAAGAATGAAAATAACAATAAATAAATTTCGCACAAATGCTCGAGAGTAATTAAACAATGAAAAAAAACATTTCAGTTTCCACTTATTTGAATTAGTCGATTTGAACAAGCCAAAATCTCAACAAACTTGCACGTCGTACCTGATCCTGAAGAACCAACATCTTTCCACTAACGTGCAACATGCAGAGTTCTCTGTGCTTGTTGATGCCTACAACCATCTTTCCATCCATTACCCGTTCCTCCTGATCTGTCGGATCAACTAACAGCGTTCTCCTGAAAAGAATATGCAGATATTCTCCACATTTGGAATAACTAATCAGCGGATTTTTTTAGGTTTCCTAACAAGAAACACATTCGTGGCAAATGACAATGAGCAGCAATGGCATAATTATTAACAAGAGGGCGCTAGAGACATATAGAGACATGAGACATCAGCGACATAGAGACATGAGACATAATTGCAACATAAGAGACAGACACATGAGAGACACAAGTAACATAGGGGAAATAGATACATGAGATATTAGTAACAAGACATTCACTCATTTGTCCTCATGTTTGTAAAGAAATTACTGAAAACCTACCCTTGATCAAAAAAGGCAAACGTCACAGACAGCGGTATATGGTTCACACTGAGTGGCACTGCATCTTTCTCATCAAGAGGATGCTAAAAAAAAAATAATATTATTATTATTATAATTACGCAAGCAGGGGAATCACAGTATAAAAATTAAGTATTTATATATATTATTTTAACATTCTGCTTCTATAAAGAACTCAGAATACATTTTATGTTTTACAGCAGCATGTTATAAATGTAATGTGGTATCTTATAATATTGACAATTTTTTTTACGGTTTAGGACTACTATATTATCAGGAGTAAGATAATATATATCTATATTCTAATATATAATCTATATTATCTTACTCCTGATATTATTAGTAGGGATTGATATAGTTTTGTTATTTATTATACATATATAGGTTATTCTATAGTCTATCTTTATTATATAGAATATGTTCTATAAAAGCATATACTTACAATTGTAACTTCCTCACCCGACACAGTAACATCAGGTCTCCTGTAAAACATAAATCATACCATCATCCGTCATCACCTCACTACACAAGTTTCTGGCAAACTGAGAATTCTCACACTTGTTTCTTGATGGGCACAAGCAATTTAGCAACAATTCGGAGCTTCTGTATAATGCTATACAAAGAACATGTATAGATAAATGCTTACAATTTTAAATAGCATGTTGACATACTATTTATGATAGAATAGAATAATTGCATATGCTCACCTGAAATGTGACAAGGCAGCTATGGCTGCTATACTTGAGCAGTCAATGAGATTGCCATCATGATTGAGAACATGGACATCTACTCTGATTTGCCAAACCTTAAACAAAGCAACAGTGTGTATCAGTCTCATGTATATATAAAAGATAACAATATTCCAGAATACACCCTATTGCCACATACATTGATAATATAACTACTATATTTTAAGTTTTAATCACTTCTGAACAGCAAAACCTATTATGCAGGATTTTTAAAATCAAAATCAAATTTAATAAAAGTGACATCAATTTTTTACTTAAATATATTATGAATAATATTGCAAAAAAATTGACAATGATATCTACCTAATTATTTCATATGCAGTGATACAGAAATTTGACAACAATGTTCACATGTACCTTTTCACCTGACATGATGCAAAGTGATTCTAAATCAATGCAGAGTGAATCCCTCAATAAGCGCTCCAAAGCTCTATTGACCTCGACACCATAGTCAGACTGTCTACAAATAGAAAAAACTATCTCTTTTCATTTGGTAACACATATAAGTCCGTAAGTACAAAGAATTAAAGCTGTTTTGCCAATGCCATGCAGTTACATTAATAAAGCTCACCAAGTTTTTATACACCATTTCACTTACTTTCCAGCCTCGAAACTGGGACAGGCCATTGGTGACAGCTCAACATTCATATGCAGTACTCCTTCATTTGGTCTTGTCTGCTTTGGGATAATCACCTCACATGATACCTGAGCGAGCACACTGTAAATAACATGAGAATCTCTATCTCAAGATAAGAACTATAAGCCATAAAACGTCTCTGATATTTTAAGTATTTACGAGCTTTAGACTTCACATATGGGGAATAAAACCATTTAACTAGTAACCATTCGAAAAAATTTCGATTGCAGATCGAGTCCTAGAAGATTGGCTTGGTGGGCAATAGAAATTCTATTATCACTCCACACACATGTCACAGCATAAAACCACAGCCACATACATGCAGAGCTATAATTTATAAACTATATAATTTATGAGGAGCTTTGTGTCTTTAAGGGCAGGTACTGACCAAATGTGGAAGTTAAATGTATAGTATCAAGAGCATATAAAGAAGGAGAGCGTACAACGCTAAAATGCTGAAACCATGTTGCAGTATTAGTCGAATTAATAAACTTTCCCCGTTTTATTTTAAAGATTCTTTGCAGTATTATTGATCAGCTGTCCTACCTTGTTCATATAAAACAAACCGCATGTCCCTACGATGCCCCTACGCTGAGATAATGAGTGGTTAAAATCTGGTATTTTCGCCGAACACCGACTAGACATTAGTCAGTACTGCGACCCACTCTCGAAGTGTGACCAGTGTGTTGCTTCCGGTCGCCGCTATCTAGCGCTGACTCGATACGTTATTACTACAGCGTTACTACATCCAGCGTAAGGGGCGGGTGATCACCATGGCGATAAATAACAAGAAGTTTTTGTGGAGTAACGGCTGCGTCAATGACTGGAAATGCGAGAAAAGATAGTAGAAGGAAAATAAATTTCATTGTCAATGAATCACGGAAACACGCGAAGTTTCCCGAAGCTATCGCCAGAACGCGAGTCGGTCGCAGTACTGACTAATGTCTAGTCGGTTTATTTTATATGAACAAGGTAGGACAGCTGATCACGCAATAATACTGCAAAGAATCGTCAAAATAAAACGAGGAAAGTTTATTAATTCGACTAATACTGCAACATGGTTTCAGCATTTTACCGTTGTACGCTCTCCTTCTTTATATGCTCTTGATAGTATACAAACACGTTAAAAAGATATAAGGCATACCGTGTACAACCAATTTGTACGTGGCAGCAACCGCGGTCATGTCCATACAAAATAACAATCGGTCTGTAGATGTATACACCTCTGCCATCAAATCTCTGCAACAAGAAGCATAAGAGGTAAATGCATACAATATAGAATACATTAACATATCAAAATTAAACTCTATGGGTCTTGTACAAACTTGGTTATGATTATAGTGCAGTAGCTGTTACATCTACTGTTGTTAGTTGTATTTATTACACCATTTAGTATTCATTGCCAATTTCTCATAATTTCTAGTCATTTCACCTATTACTGCTATTATTTTAATTATTTTATTATTACTTATTGCTTATTATTGCACATTATTGCTTATTTTATTAAATTGTTAAATAAAATTAAGAAAAAGAAAAAATGTAATAGTTGGTTAATATAGTTTTTTTTGCAAAATAATGAAAATATACAAAATAAGATAACATTTCAAAATTTTGGGAATCGAATCAAAGGAATCGAATCGAGAGGCTAATATCGACATACGGAATGAATCGAGCGGTATGTGTATCGTGTTACAGCCCCTCAAATAACCATCAGCGTTGTAATATGACATTCTCAACACAATTATTCTGATTGACTAAGGCCTGCAAAGTTGACATTATGGTATACACACGATGGACACGTCATGATATGATAATCGATATGGTGAGCTTCACTGATCTAATGACTTCAAAGTTCAAGATACATTTAGTAATTTAATTTCAGGAATTCAGTCAAAAACTAAACATAATCATACTGCACATAATAGCTAGGATTAGAGTAAGTGGACAGTCACAGAACATTCACACCACCCCATTGTGAATGCAATTCTGCTGTAATAGTGTAGCATGATTAATTTTACACAGCAACAGCCATGCCATAGTCACAGGGTCTTGGATTGATCTTGGCACAAACAGTTGGGACGTTTCAATAATAAAATGATGGTAATTAAATCAATAAGAAATGTATTTACTAAGTACCAAAGTCCTGATGTTTTTCTACTCTCTTTCACCTATTATTGCTGAGAGGGTAGACCTATGTCTCCCAGGGTACTGCCGGAACGTACCCTGGTACCAGAGCATATAAATCAACGTGATTTATATGCTCTGCTATAGTACTATCTAATATGCCGGACCGTACCTCGCCTACTCCACTAACGAGTCTAGGGAGTCGCCTATGCCTACTCCCTAACCCTAACCCTAACCCTAACACTAACCCTAACCATATCAGATAGTTACCAGGGTACGTTCCGGTATACCAGACCATACCCAGGGTACGTTCCGGCAGTAACCTGGGGGACATAGACCCTATGAGCCCTATTATTAGTAATAATTTCCTGTAAATGTCATTCAAATGCTCCTCTGGAACATACAAATTACAATTTCGCTGCACGTACGCCACTGTGCACAAACAACAGAAGTATACATGTGCATAAACAGAGTTCTGAACATATTTCTATTGTTTTATGTTGTACTTGTTGTTCTCTATATTTCTGTTGTTTGTGCACAGTGGTTTGCGTGCAGTGAGATTGCGTGTTGTACTTGTAATCTAGACTGTAGAGAGCAGTTGCACGGCATTCCACTACATAAACATGATAAAGATACGTAAACAACACTGCGACTTTGTGGAAGTATATATATACATTTGATTTCGTATTTAACGTTTCATTATTGAAACGTTCCAAGTGCGTAATGGCGTAGTGGCACTGATACTGGCTTATATTTTATAATATTACAGGTGATACTGATAATGCATAGTCACTAGTGAAACACTGAACGTGCATGTTGAGGAAAGTACATCGCACCGTGGCATATGGTAGTATTAGTACTACTGAGTCGGTACTACTACTAGTAGTAGTAGTACCTACCGACTCAGTGACTGTTTTGGTCTTACCCTGTTTTCAGCAATAGCTGCAAGCACAAACTTTTCTTCACAATTAGAAAGCGGGTGGTCTTTCATTATGATTATGCCAATCGTAGACTTGTGAAATCTGAATAAAAAATTATTTTCTAACTCAGTAACATGTGAATCGTGATGTTATTTTAACACAAGAGACAAAACGGCCATATAATAAACATGAGCGCTCTTGTTTTAAAATGGGGCCTCTATGCTCCGTAGAAAAGGCAGGGCGCTGTGATCGCAGTGATATCAGAATTTTAAAATTCTTTTAGAGATTAGACACAATAACCCATAAATATTCGCCTTCAAAGGTCCTAGGGAATATAACGAAGACGGAGAGATTAGTGGATCAAATCGATAGATCAACACTGCGGATTGCAGTGGAAAAAGTAACCATTTTGCAATTTACCAATGATTCAATGATGAAGGAATAACCAATGCTAACATTGCTTTAATATAATAATATAATAAATAATGCTATAAAAATAACAACAAATAATGACAGCGAAAAAATAGTGCATTAGCGATTATTATGATTTTGAGGAATTTTAGCTAAACAGTTAAGGAATTTTACATAACCCCAAGGCCCTTGGGCCAAGAGTGAGCATTAGGTGATTCCACATAGAGAGATCCACCACAACCAAACTTTGACCACCACACACTGTGACACCACCACCACAAACAAACTGTTGAACCATACTTAGACCATAAGTACAAATGAAAGGTTAGGGTAAGGGTGTGAAGAAAAGTCAGGTAAGTAAGATAAGTGTGAGATTAATGATTAATGATAGGTGGATGATGGTTAAAAGATTAATTCATAACGAATGATTGCTAAAAGATTCATGATTTGGTCGATGTTTCAATGATTCACGATTGGTCGATGGTTAAATAAAAGATTCCCGATTGGTCGATGGTCAATTAAAAGATTCCCGATAGGTTGAAGGTTAAAAGATTCCTGGTTGGTCGATTGTTAAAAGGCCCACATTTAGTCAATGGTTAAAAGATTCCTTGTTGGTCGATTGTTAAAAGGCTCACGATTGGTCGACAGTAAAATGATTCATAGTTGGTCGATTACTAAAGGCTCATGATTGATCGATTGCTAGAAGGCTCATGATTGGTTGTTTGTTAAAAGGCTAACGATTGGTCGATTGCTAGAAGCCCCACGATTGGTCGATTGCTAGTGGGCGCACGCTTGGTCGATTGCTAGGTCCACGATTGGTCGATTTGCTAAAAGGCCTACAATTGGTCGATTGCTAAAAGGACCACGATTGGTCGATTGTTAAAAAGCTCATGATTTAATCGTTTGTTCATCCAAAATAATGGAAATTTTCCTTCTACTAGTATATTAAATGACCGATATATCCAAAATTATCTAGTCTGCATGACCATGCTATATATGTCAAAATTTCCCTTATTTAGTAGGCAAATACACTATGTTAACAAGCCTGCAGTGACGATGATTTTTGACGTATCGGTCATTTAATATGCAAGTTTTCATTATTTTTAACCATTTTATTGTTTCAACCTTATTTTATTACAACTTAGATATAGCTGCACTCAATAAATTGCTTCTAGAATATTAGGATAGATATCTACGAATAATTTGAGCTATTTTTTGAATAAATTGGATGAGTATTATTGATATTATAGCCAAAACCCTAAGAGTGTTATAAGACACGTGACCACTATTAAATCACTACCGGTTCATTACCCTCTTAGGTTAGAGGATGTGACGCGTCACCGGCCAACCAATCGGAGGGCCCGCAGCTCGGGCACTAAAGCTGACGCGATGTTTTGTGGTTGCATTATTTAGGCTGGCTATCGTGTGTGGCAATGACATGCACACGGAGATGGGTGGATGGTTACTGGTAATTTAAAACAAATTCTTTCAATGTATGGCCCCTATTTGACTGCGCGACTGTTTTTCAGTCACAAATGTGGTGTCGGATAGTAAATTTGCGATATTTGTTTAAAACGCTAGACAACATATGACATAACTCTCATGGTGTACAGCTGAAGTGCATGGCTACCTAGCTTTAATATTGCCACTCGGCCGAAAACGGTCAAAATACTATTTTGCAGCTCCTGAAATTCAATTCTTAAGTATAGGATCCTATGGAGGATTTAATAGTGGTTCGTTCTCATAACGCAATACACGTTAACACGCCAGGGGCCGCTGTATGCCACCAGATGGCGCTGTTCATTTGGCGCTATATCAGTAATTCTTCAGGACCTCGTGTAGGAGGCATACAACAGTAAGCCTCCGCAAATTGTTCACCGTTGCACTATTTCGTCTCTAGAAAAGGCCTTTTTTGGAATTTTTTTCGCGCCAAAAATTCGGCACTAGAGTGCAATAATTAGCATTATGCACACAAGTTAGATGCCTCGTCGATGTCTAGAAAGCATTAGAAGTAAAATTGCTCTTGTTGTGTATTCGTGACATTCCGTCAGGTGGCGTAGCCACAGCCACCGGTTGGTCATTTTTGTGTTTGAAATGTGTTCAGACAACTTTGCAGAAATTCGCATCATAGAGCTGGCAAAAGTTTCGAGCGGAGCATAGAGCTGGCAAAAGTTTCGAGCGGAGCATAGAGCATGAATCTGTAGTTATTTAACATGAATAAAGTGTATGTTGTGTAAGCGCAGTAACACAGGCACTTGGAGCGTTTCAATAAAATATAATGGCATTAATGCTAAATAAATACGAAATCCATTTACTACCAAAGTCTTAATGTTTCTCTACTCTCTAGCTTTCACCTATTATTGCCGACAATTTCCTGTAAATGCCGTCCAGACTCCAAGACCAAATGCTCATCTGCAACACACTGTCACACGCTGACCGCCGCACGCTAGCTGCTGCACACTGACAAATAAATATATATTTATTATTATTTATGTATTTATCTATATATTTATGTGTCAGTGTGCAGCAGCTAGCGTGCGGTGTACTCGTGTGTTGCAGATAAGCATTTGACAGGCATTTACACTTACGACGTGGATATTCGTCCGAGCAACAGACACCTGTTCGTATGCGCTATTCGTCCGAGCAGTTGTTGCGCATGCGCTGTTGATGTTGCATGCCGCAGGCGCACGGCACGAGTGCCGAAGGTAGGAAGTGTGAAGGGGGGGTCTGGGGGGCTCTCCCCAGAAAATGTTGAAATCTAGACGTGATGCGGCCATGATGCCGAGGATTGACACTTTGTGTCTTCCAATCACAGTCTACGCCACCCCCTTATCTTCTAACTTTTAGCTATAATACCTATTACGGCATGGAATCGCCGATCTCACGAACTAGGGCATTCTGCTAGGCTAGAACGGGCGCACAGCGAGCGCTCGTGTGTCGTTCAGGAGGCGCTGCGTTCATTCATCGAGCGTTCGCATCGAGCGCTCGCTCTTCTGAACACGCCTCTGCCGTTGCTGTGCCTACCGTTTTTCGCCGGCCTATTTACTTTTCCTAAATAATGAAATGCCCGGCCGATGCATTTCGCATCGAACAGGACAATTTTCTGCATTCTTACTCGCAGTCGGAAGTCGACGAGTGCGTCATTCATTGAACAATTCAATAAAACACACAATTTTCGGAGGCTAATCGGGGCCAAGGAGCTAAATGTTTACATGCCACAGCGCCATCTCTTCGATGTTTTATAAGTAAATATGGGGATTTTCAATAAAA